CCTCCCCCCCCCCCCCATCACTCCCCCTACGTCTGTGACTGTCTGCCTCTCTCTCTGATCGTCAGTCCCATCACGATGCGGGAATGCAGGGGTCAATCTCTGAAGTCGCCTAGCCTCTATTGCCAGTAGGACTGTACGAGCTTGTTCACCCCTGTCAACCCGGGGCGGGGGGATGAATGGTCTCAGAGTCGAAGGAGTCAAATGTCCCTGTGCATCGAGTGCTGCCCTGCGTCTGAGTCGACGTCCTCCAGGATCAGATCCATCCGCCATGCRTGCTGGTCGTGATCCATCCGCCATGCGTGCAGGTCGAGATCCATACTCCATGCGTGCAGGTCGAGATCCATCCGGTCTATAATCGGAGTCACCTGGGTCGTCGGCCCCCGTCGACTCGCCGGTCGGGATGTCAGAAATGTCATCGTGTACAATGGTGAAAGCACCTCGTCTCTTCTCTCCACGACCAGCCCCCTCGGTGTGGTTGCGCCGCTCGTCCCCTGTGCTGCCGGAGCTGCCATGCACGCGTGACAATCTGCGTGAACGGCCTCCATCATCTGCCTGTCCATCCTCCGGTACACCACCATGCCACGACGACTCGAATGTTGTGAAGACCTCTCGTGTCCGCCCTTACTCTTTGCACGCGACATACTGGCCTTCACCACCCTGGTGAAGGCAACATCTGATGTCTTCGTGGCCAGCTGTCTGCCATGCTGGTCCTCATACTCACGCATCGCACCATGGTTACGACCGCCAACAGCGCCGATGGAATGTGTTCCAAAGGGCACATCTGGCATGCCGCATGCACTCCTCACTGCCGCGGTTCCGCCATCGACTGGTGCTGCTCTCCCCCGGTCATAAAAAGACGATGCTGCCAACCTTGGCACAGGTGGGCTTGACCCCCCCGCATAAGCTCCTCCCTGTCGCTCCTCCCTACCGCCCCTCCCGGCCGCATGTGGTGCAGAATCCATGCGCATGGCAGGTCTGTCACGAGTGCGACCGGTAGCCGACGAAGCTGGTGTAATGTCCTTCCCAGGCTCTGCGTGGCTCGCGCTGGTCGGAGGTGCCCCTGATCGACCCTCTCCACCCCTGGTCGTCGACGGTGCTCCCACACAAGGATCCCCTCCAAGTCCACCCAATGGCGCACCCTCTCGCACGCCGCTGTCAGAAGACGCTCCGTCCAAAGAGTCAGCGAGGCTACGTTGTGCGGAGCTACGCCCGTCCCTCGTATGTGGCAGACCTTCATGGCGTGTCGTGGTCTCGGCCAAGCCTAGAGCGACCTCGTGGGGTTTCCCTACCCGAAATACGGATGGGGTTGCAGAGGCCATGGCAAACAATATCGTATCTCCACCGAACTCGTCAAACCCTCTGTCTGTTGCATCGCGGGCGGGCCCACCCTGGAGGCTAGGGGGCGGCACGAGCGGCAACGATGGTGGAATAATTGTGTCAGCACCAAACATGCTGTCGGCTTGCGTGCCCATGCCCACCATGTCGCCTATGCGAGGAAGACTACCGTCGGGGCACGCGAGGCCGACATCCTCGTCTCCTGCGGTCCGGGTGCTCCCACCATCGGGGCAAGGGGGCTGCACGTACGACAATGACGGTGAAACGAGGGTGCGGATGTCGGGGAGCCCGTCGAGTGCAGAACCTATGGAGAGCAGTTCAGCAGTTCAAGGAAGATTGCTGGTGGGGTGAGAGAGTCGAACATTCCCGTCTCCTAGGCCTCCCGCCACTGGAGTGATCTCACCATCCTCCATGTAGACACTCCTGAGATATCTGTGCGTGGTAATCCACTCGCCGCTTCGGCGCGCTGATCTACGTCCGTCATCGGCGCAGGGGGACATCCTAAGTCCATCGCCTCCATCACCTCCATGCAAACGTCAGCCGCGTCCATACCACCACCGAGCACTGGACTGTGTGGAAGTGGATGTGCATCCTGCTCTGTGCCATGAACTGGACGTGCGTCCTCCTGTGCCCCGTCGACAACCGGATGTGTCTCCCGCGCCGAGCTGGCAGGTGACGGGTGTCGCTCATCGACGGGCCCATCACTCATGGAGTCCTTGGAAACGAGGACAAGCTCAGACTCAACGGCTCGTGGACGAATGGTGGGGGGGAGGGTCCCGTGGCGGTGCCGCACACGATCGACAATCGACTGTGTCCTCTTCGGCCCATGCCGCAATCGTACGAGGTGAGGTCTCGAGCCATGCGGGGGACTGGCCTGTCCATCCCTGCTGCCTCCGCCGTCGACAACGTCCACTCCCCCATGCTGCTCGGCGTCCATAGCCACGCGGTAGTCGTGAACATAGGATGCAATCCAACCGACGGAGAGACATGGTGGCCCTCGAGCGACGCAGGTGGCGGTCTCGTTGCCTCTGTCGACGGCACCGCGGTCCCTCCAAGTACCGGCGGTGGGACTGCACCGGCCGACGGTCCTCCCGTCACAGATGCCAGAACCGGTGCACTAACTGCACCGCGAGACGGCCCTGCCTCACTAGCAAGCGACCGGCGAGGCTCCGAGTCCTCTGGGAAAAGTGTCGACCACTGGAATGCCGGAGCGCCAGGAGGGAGCGTCTTCAACTCCTCAATTGAGACAACAAAGTCCTTCGGACACTTGTCCATGTTCTTCGCCCATACGGTATAATACACAGCAGGGGTCCCCGCCGGGCATCTGAACTCCTTGCTTTTGAAGAAATGTTCCTTCGCTTCTCTACTGCCCCCACAAATGGATTTCCCGCACAATCTGCAGACACATCGTCGACCACTCTTCCTCCCCACCGCCGTCTCGGGGTACAAGTATCGGCAACGTGCAACAAAATGCCACACAAGATCATCGCGTTTGGCATCCATACCAGCATCAATCTTGAATGGAGAGTCGAAAGTCTTCGAGTTGTGTCCCTTTCTTGTACCACTCTCAGTTGTTGTCGCGGCCTGGTCGGGGGCCACCTGCTCCTTGCTAGTGTTCCGCGTCATGATGTCACAACCGCAGCGTGTGACAACAAAGAGTCGCGAAGCACACTTGCGTCACGATAGACAGCAGTGGCTTCGAATAAATGAATCGATGATGAAGCACAACCCATACAAAACCGAGCCGTTGGCCCCTGGTTACAGTGTTACACCACCCATACACCACCCCTGCCCCCATTCACCAACCCATCCCCGTGGGGCCGTACGGCCACACGACAATACAAGCATGTCTAGTCATTAGTTGAAAAAAGAAAAAAAAAACAGAAAAAAAAATTAAAAAACCATTTACATTCTTGACCGCAAAAACAA